CAGTCATGTCACTAAAAGTTTTCAACAGCTGATTCCTATCATCTCGGGGACCCTAGGCGGATAGTCATCCATCCAGGTTAACCTAGGATCAAGCATTACTGTGTAACAGTCAAACTGGCCACATCTCATATATCACCACATCAAGAAATATAAAGTGCGAAAAAAGAGAGAGAGAAAGGAAGAATGAGATTCGGTATAGAGTCGTTAAGATGAAGATAATGTATGTGTGTGTGTGCGGATACATCTGCTCCATAAACATCCGTTCTCACCCACATCACCTACAGTCAGTCTCCAACCACTCCCTCCTCTGTCCCACCGACCCCAACCACCTAGTCTACATCACCCCCCTACATGGCTCAAACTAACAGTCAGAGACTTCATACATTGTTGCCATGTTTTAGTATGGCCACCTCCACCCTTCTTCCAGCCTAAATCTACTTCAGTCAACATTGTGTGAAGAGGCAATCGGCGACTAGGCATAAGTAACACGTGTCGGAACCAACCATCTCAGTTCATCAAGGTTCATAACCTCGTCAACCGACTTACCTCTCCTCTCTCCCTAAAACTCTACTCCTGACAGACAGACAGTATACACCTTCCTATACACCTCAAACAAATAGTCAGAGACTTTATGACTTATACCACGTTCTAGTCAGGGTATTATGAGCCGTCTTCCAACTTCTATTATTCCACCTTGAAGTAGACAGTAGTTCGTCATTTTCAAGGAATAAGAGATAAATAATTGAGCACAAGTTTCAAGTCTTCTATTCACAAGCTACAAAAAATAGCCACTAACAATGTCTAAGTAAATGAAATCTTCCCTAGGAAACAGTTATAAAGGAGAAAAGAATGTATTAGGAAGGGAAAATGAAAAACAAAGACGTTAATGACTGAATACAACAACAGAACGACAGTAAACTGAAAGGTCGAATAGGTGCTTTAGAATCTCCACTATGTTTATCTAAAGGCGACGCAGACACCCAAATTGAAGTAAGCTTTACGGACCCCTTTCTTAGCGCTACAATGCCGCATAATAGTTATCTGGCACACGATTTCTACCCTGTAGATTCTGAGACTCATAATTTTAACCCTCGAAAAGCCATTATAAGGCCGCCACTTACACTATAACGGTTTCATTATTATTATCCCTTGGGTTCCTAGTGAAACATAGGGATTTAGTAGAACATAGCCATTTAATTCTTTCTTCTACAGACCTATTAAACTGGCTCCACCACTCCCAGTAACCTTCAATTTCTTCCTCACCTGATGTCCTCCATGTCACCCTCAGCTGGGACACCCAACTCATCGTTTCCCCTTTGGATTCCATTCCACAGCCTGGCCTGACACACGATGTCACCAAACCATCTTCTCAGTCTATGTCCTATTCAACCCATATCCACTTCCTTCTTCTGCAGATTTTCTGGGAGATAGGTTCTTCGTTGGTTGGTTGCTTCGTTAACAGTTCACAGTGACTTCCTCCTTGCTCATTCTTATCATTCTGACCATCTCATCTCATCTCATCTTCAGTGTCAGTATCGAGTGAGTGTAGATGGCAGCTGTTCTTGATGAATGTGTGCAGTTTGTTGGAAATGCTTAACTTAACACGCCAACTCTCTCAAGCATGACATAGAGGTAAGCACTGAGTTGAACTTGAATGAATGATTGTTGAAAATCCAGATGCTGTCCACGGTTTATGCTGAGTGTAGTGTAGTGCAGTGCAACAGACCTCCACACTGATCTCAGATTAATGCAGGAAGGTCTGTCTTGCTGTCTTTCCGATCCTGGCTGGCTTCCATGTCCTTATCTGTGCGTGTGTCGCATATAGTTGAGACGACGCTGTCTAAGTAGGCAGGTGAAAGAGATTAGTTCCTTCAAATTTCTCCTGTTCATGGTAATTGATGTTCGTTGGATATCTTCATCACCTGGGTCTTCTCTATGTTCACCTGAAAGAAGTATTGTCTTCACTGCCTCTTCTGTCAACTTGTTAGTTTTCGCCTGTAGATATTCTAGTTTATGTGACATCAGACATAAATTATCATCGATGAAATCCAAATCTTCTAGTCTTTCTCTTTTCATCTATCAAACAGCATATGCCTATCTTCTCACAGTTGCTTTTTGCATGATCCACTCGACCACAACCTGGAAGATCATCGGTGATAGTAGGCAACTAGTCTAAATCTAACTACTATACAGAAGAACTGCATTGTATGATACGATCTTAAGGGATTATCGTTTCAGAAAGTATAGTTCATCGGATGATTGAGATATCCAAGAACGACTATTACTTGAAAGTAGCACGTAATGATTAGTTCATTATGTAATCCTCTCGCATCACGGATACTTGTGCTAGTCAACCCATTTCTACACATTTATTCTCACTTAATACCACTGAATGAAAAGCAACTTTATAGTTCACCTCATAAGCGCATACGCCAAAGATTCGGTGCTGATTAAATCCAAATTTAGATATTACGCACTGAAAAAGGTCCACTATACTTGCATACGGCTGTGAAGCATGACCATTAAAGATGGGTGATATCAAATAACTACAGGTCTCCTACCGGCAAGTCACAGGTTCGAGACCCGCTCCAAATACTGAGGACTGGGTAGCTAGAGAGTACAAGCCATGATGCAATAAGAACAAGGCATGTATCAGCGAAGAAATATTCCTTTTCAACGACTCCATTACCAGACTGTATAGTCGTATTTATACTCGTCAATGCATGAAGGATAAACTTCCACTTATATACACATCTATGTGTATCTACAAGTTCACATGCTCCTATGGAGCTGACTATATTGGACGCTGTAAGCCGGACCTCTGAAAACGTGTTGCTGAACACTACCCGGTTTGGCCTACCAGAAGTGAGCGAAGGAAAATGACTTCATCTATATGTGAACACCTTGTTGAATTAGGACACTCAGCACCTCGAGATTCATCCTTTAAAATTATTTACAAAGTTAAATTGAACTACTCTAAAGGTTTACGTTTCCACTACTTACTTATACATTGCTGAAGCATCAACTATACATGAACAAAAACCGAAACTTTGTATTCGAAAAGGTTTTGTGAAACCACCTTTTCTACCTTGGCCTTATTAATCCAGTTTTATTGATTTTGTCAATTTTATTTCAACCTCATCTGGTTAACTAGTTCACTGGTTACTAGCCGGTCGTAATCCGGGGTAAAGAGGGAAGGTTGGGAGTAGGGCTAGCAACCCTACCCCTTAAAACAGATCCAATCGCTAAAGAAACTTCAAAGCACAAACAGTTTGGTATACTTCCCTTTATCATCATCACTAATTTTCACTTCATTGACAACACTTGAACCATATTTCACTATTCAATATCAATTCCCTGCCTTATTCATTCACCTATTTTACATGTTTCAGCTTATTTATATTACCGTTTTACAATTGTTTGACAACACTTGTCGCTTATCACACCACTTGTTATCAATTCGTTCCTTATTCACAGTGATCCATTTTCTATCTCTTCCACTTGAACAAATATCACCACCTACACGGATTGTATAAATTGCATATTGACTGAGCAAGTCTTTTTTTCGTGTAATTATGTGTAACTTTATCGAGTATAAATAGGACTGCTGTACAGCTTGATATAATGAAGTCGTTGAAAAGAAATGCTTCTTCTTCACTGATACATGCCTTGTTCTTGTTAATGAATAAATGGGTATATTTCGTGATGATGCAACAGGCAATGATCATTACCTACTACAGCACCTATACCAGAACGTAGCACTAGTCCATGAAGCCTCTCACTACTGGTCCCAGTCGTGTAACCTTTTCGGTTGTAGTCACAGCATGACAGTCGAAACCTACGGTTGAAAACCGTGTGTAGCATGGCTTGGAATCGACCTCTAATTCATCACATGTTGCATTTCGTCATTGTTTTAACCCCCTCCTTCTTTATATACTCCTCATTTGGCTGCCTAGGTATGATGATGTGATAAACTGAACCACAATGCGGTAAATGCCAGGTCCTACCCACGTTGATATTGACTAAAATCTTGATGTGATGTAACACTCACTCACCCATCGATGTTCACGATAAGTTAATTTAGTGAATACAAAAAAAGGAGCAAATAATTGCTGCAGACGATTGGAACATATGGACAGTAAACATACACCAGATAATCTTCTCTCAACTCATTCGATGTATAGCCAGTGATATTTGGAAGATAGCTGGATTATTTATTTAGCATGCCTGATGAATGACAGCGAACTCGGTTGAATTTATTTGCTGATTTCAGGGTTGGTACTCATCACTGGCTAATTAAACCAGTTGAAGAAACCTGCGAGCACTGGACAGCTGTTTCGTCCTAGGATGCGATTCCTCAAAAGTGCTCACCTGTGACCTCCCGAGGATCGAACCACCACGTTACCATCGCAGCCACTAGATTACAGTCCAGTGGTCACTATTTTGTTATTGCTGTCAGTTCATGATATAACACGACCTCCATTCAATATCATCGTCAAGTAACTGTCCTCATATCCGACCTGGTTGGCCTCACCTATCACAATTTCTCATTAGAAATTCGAGAATTACCTCTCGAAGCAAGTCAACACTGAAGATTATATTAACTCAGTTTGAAGATTTGTGAAGTAAATAAATGTGAACCATTTGATTCTGATCCAGTGACTGGCACGATGATAAAGTGCTGGTCAAGGAACCCTGGCGGAGTCATTGGTGTACATCGCTTAGGAGGAGTTAGCTGAGCAGCGCTCCCAGATCTCAAATGGTTCTCCAACAGATGTCAGTAGTCCAAAAACCATTTCAGTATGTCGTGTTTACACCCACCCCACTCCAGCCAACCAGCCAGCCAGCAACAGCAGCAGCCTAATACATACATACATGAGAAGATTGAAGTGGAAACTAAATGTATTTATCACATCACAGTACATATTTATACAACAATACAAAAGTGAAGATTACAGAATGAAGCATGGACATCATCAAAGAAGATAGATAACCAGACATCAATAGTCTAATCTTATCATTTGTTTAAACCGTTTCAAAAGATCTGTAACTCTTGTCTTCTCAGAAAATGTTGTACCAGTCGATTCATCACCTAAATTATTCACATATTCTAGAATTGAACAGTAAATAAGGAAATAAAATTAGTATATAGTTTGATTTAGAAAAAAACACATATAGGACCGCATATTACTATGTACTGCTTCACAGTAATAAGGCAATAAAATGAATTGGTCAGAAGCCTTGACGTTATTGGCCAGAAAGAATAATAATAATTATTATTATTATCAGTCCCTTGGGTTCCTAGTGGAACACAGGGCTTCAGTAGCACGTCTCCAGTGACCTCTGTTCTCTGAGATCTTTTTAACCTGGTTCCACGACAGCCCACAAGCTCTCATTTCCTCCTCGCACAACCTCCTCCATGTCACCCTCGGACGTCCAACTCGTCGCTTCCCATGGGGATTCCACTCGAGCAACTGGCCTGACGTGTGATGTCCCCAGTCGACCTTCTCAGTGTATGGCCAATCCATCTCCACTTCCTCCTGCATATTTGTTCACCGATAGGTTCTTGCTTTGTTGGTTCGTTCCCAGCCAGAGTTCCTTGTTGCTTATTCTTTCTGGCAATCCATCTGATCTTCAGTAGCGAGCCAGCGTAAGCAGTTGTTGATGAATGTCTGTAGTTTATTGGAAATCCCTTTCGTGACGCGCCAAGTCTCTCAACCATACAGAAGCACTGACTTGACGTTGGTGTTGAAAATCCGTATCTTGTTCCACATGCTGAGTGCAGAAGATCTCTACACTGCTTTCAAGCTAATGAACACCTGTCTTGCTTTTCCGATTCTGACTTTGACGTCCTCGTCCGTCCCGCCTGTAGTTGAAACAGTGCTTCCTAGATAAGTGAAGGAGGTTACTTCCTTCAAGTTTCTCCCGTTGACGGTGATTGGAGTTTGTTGTTAGTGGTGGTGGTGCGGTATCTTCATCACCTCTGTCTTCTCTATATTCACCTGAAGTCCCGTCTTAGTTGCCTTTTCTGCCAACTTGTTAGTTTTCGCCTGTAGATCTTCAAGTTTATGTGACATCAGGCACAAGTCATCACTGGTGAAATCCAAGTCTTCTAGGTTCTTTTCTGCAGTCCAGTGTATCCCCCTCTTCTCGCTGCCTACTGTTTGCTGCATGATCCAGTCGAGTCGACCACTATCAGGAATATCATGGGGGATAGTAGGCAACCTTGTTTCACTCCTGTCTTCACTTCAAAAGCATCACTGAGCTTCCCATTGTGAATTACTTGGCATGTGGCATTTTCATATAGTTGTTGAATGGCGCGGATAAAGCAGAAATAATAAGGTAACAAGGAATTCACTCTGAGAACGAACCAGGTTAAAAGAGAAGACCACAGAGAAAAGAGTACAATGAAGGTGTGCTACTGAATCTCCTAATCATTGATTTCTATTGTCAATTAGACTCCATCAACCGGTTAGTCTGCATCGGTATGCATAGCTCAAACTAACATTCAACAACTTCATGCAATGATATCATGTTTTAGCATGGCTACCCCGAGCCTATTTCGGCTAATATTGTGCTAATATTGTGTAAGTGGTCAAATACCTGAAGCTTCCTAATGTCCTCTACTTTTAAAAGCTACGTTTCACAGCTATATAATAAAACACAGTGAAATGAAGTAAAAAGTACACTCGACCCTTAATAGATAATCGGTTATCGCGGCAGCACTACAGATGGCGTAAGTTGGTAGACAGTCAAGCCAACCTTTTGTATTCATGCTAAGATTTCGTTGGCCACTGACTAGTGTACCAGGGTTAATTCAACTTCCTAGGTAAGTGAAGCGTTCAACCCACTTAACTTTCTAGCCAAGCTATTGTTGAAGATCAGTGGTAACCAAAAAAAAAAGTATTCTTTGCGTAAAACAAAGATTCAATACTTCAGAGTGATCATCTTTCTATGACAGCAGTTGATAAAATTCATTGAAAGTCAGTTTAAATTCTGTGGGAAAATAGAGTTAGAGTATGATGAATCAATTTATAGTCAATGCTTATGACTCGTTTACTAAACTATCGTTTCGATTTGCTTGATATGGTCAACTTCTTTATATATTATACTGACTTGTAAACTTTCCCATGAATATCTTGACTAGAAAACAACCTTATAATGTTAGCAACATTTCTTGAAAAGAAGGTAGTATTCGATAGTGACGGCCGAGCATGTTTGACTGTGTTACAACCTACGATGAACTATCAAGTTAGGTGTTTACATTCTGTTCATTCTCCGTTCTTAATTAACTTTGTCAATAGGCATAGTTACAGATTTCTCTACTTTATGTCATCTGACTTTAGAAGCATCGCTCCTCATGTAGGCAGTTGCTTAGAGCATAACATTATCATTATTTTTCCCTTGGGTTCCTAGTGGAACATATGGCTTCAGTAGCACGCCTTCATTCCACTCTTTTCTCTGAAGTCTTTTCAACCTCACTCCACGACTGCCCACAAACTCTCATTTCTTCCTCATATGATCTCTTCCATGTATCCCTCGGATGTCCAACTCGTCGTTCTACTCGAGTGTCTGGCGCGTAATGTCCTCTGTCGGCCTTCTCAGTGTATACCCAATCCATCTCCACTTTTTTTCTGCACATAGAAATGTGAAAACATTGAAAAAATATGCAGAAACTTCTAAACGCACTGAATGGTAATTCTAGGCTATTTAGCATGTTTTTACCGTTAAAATGCTCCATGACTGGTTTGTATTGATAATTCGTCCGGTGATGCACAGTGGAGTGGTGTGTTGACTACTTCACCTATTTAAGTTATCGGATGGATGGTCATTAGTCAATGTAACCTCAGTTCAGACACAGAAAGCTCGTCTGGCCTTCATCCATTTAAGCCTCTTTCAGTTGTCAGTGTTTTGTGTGGGAGTTCGCTCTGTCTTACCATATACCTCTTATTATGTAACCATCAAATGTGGATGATGCCTTCGTGTCGTGGAACCATTACGTTTGTAAAGTAAAGTCTTAGGTAAAGGGATCAAATTGGTCTATAAGGCTAAGAACTTTTTAACTAAATCGGGTGGTTGAGACAGGTCTTCGTATAACTGGACCATTGTCTACCCTGAAGTAAAGGAGACCCATATAAGAAAGTGGCATCAAAAAATGAAGTTTTTGACTATCGTAATAGGAAATACTCAGATCGATGATATAAGACACTAGGTGAAATGGTTTATAACCAATCACCTTTTTTACGCATGAATTTACACTTTACTGTTGCCCCTCATCGTTACGCATTATATCTCGTCATAGCACAGATCATAGAATGTCAACTCTTTACCTCAACTTCATCGACTTTGAAAAAGCCTTCAACAGTGTCGACCGAAAAGTAATTTGACAGGCAGCTGCTTCAACACTATGCAATGCCACAAACTTTTATCGATCTCATTCAACAGCTATATGGCAACGTCACATGCCAAGTAATTCACAGTGGAAAGCTCAGTGATGCCTTTGAAGTGAAGACAGGGAGGAATAAGACAAGGTTACCGCCTACTATCACGGACCATCTTCCTGATTATTGTCGACTGGACCGGACTGGATCATGCAAGAAATTGTGAGCTGCGAGAAGATGGGCATACGCTATTTGACAGATGAAAAGAGAAAGACCCTAGAAGATTTGGATTTCACCGATGACGATTTATGTCTAATGTCACACAAACTAGAATATCTACAGCCGAAAACTAACAAGTTGGCAGAAGAGGCAGTGAATAGGCAGCGAAGATGGAACTTCCTTCAGGTGAACATATAGAAGACCCAGGTGATGAAGATACCCAACAACAAGCACCATCGACGATAAAAATCTAAAGGGAGTTGTCTCTTTCGCCTGCCTACCTAGACAACATCGTCTCAACTATATGCGACACACGCACAGATAAGGATGTGGAAGCCAGCCAGGATCGGAAAGACAGCAAGACAGACCTTCCTGCATTAATCTGAGTTCAGTGTGGAGGTCTGTTGCACTTACTACACTCAGCATAAACCGTGGACAGCATCTGGATTTTCAACAATCATTCATTCAAGTCCAACTCAGTGCTTACTTCTATATGATGGTTGAGAGAGTTGGCGTGTTAAGTCAAGCATTTCCAACAAACTGCACACATTCATCAAGAACAGCTGCCATCTACACTCACTCGATACTGACACTGAAGATGAGATGAGATGAGATGGTCAGAATGATAAGAATGAGCAAGGAGGAAGTCACTGTGAACTGTTAACGAAGCAACCAACCAACGAAGAACCTATCTCCCAGAAAATCTGCAGAAGAAGGAAGTGGAGATGGATTGGATAGGACGTAGACTAAGAAGGCGGTTTGGTGATATTACGTGTCAAGCCAGGCCATGGAATGGAACAGAAACGGGAAAAGACGAGTTGGGCGTCCGCGCTACTGAAACCCTATGTTCCACTAGGAACCCAAGGAACAAAGAATAATTCGCCCTAGTACATTTTCTTGCCATCTTATTTCTTGTTTCAACTTTCAGTTGTATCCTTTTTATTTGTTTGTCTTTCGTACACCTACTTCTTGTATCTTGATGTATGGAAAGGAAATATAGTGAACTGAAACTATTTTCCAATAGTGTGAAGCTTTATAGTTAACCAGTGAATTTACCATACTCTAGCTTATATGAACAACCTGCTGGATAGATGACAATTTCAAGAGTCATATTGAAGTTAATCAGTGTAGAGATCTACTGTACTCAGCACAAAGCGTGAATAACATCCCAGTTTTTAACATCAATGTCAAGTCAGTGCTGCTATGTGATGGTTCTGAAACTTGGCGTGTTACGAAAAGCATTGCCAACAAACTACAGACATTCCATCAACAGCTATCACGTACGCTCACTAGATACTGAAGATCAGATCAGAAGGCCAGGAAGAATAAAGAACAAGGAACATTGGCATGGCAACGAACCAACCAAGAAAATATCACCTAACAAATATGTAGAAGGAGAAAGTCGAGATGGATTGGATTGAGCATACATGAGAAGACCATTCGAGGACATCACATGCCAGGCCAGGTACTCGAGTGGAATCCCAAAGGGGAAACGACGGGTTTGATATCTAAGGCGAGGGGTGACATGGAGGAGAACAGGTGAGGAAGAAATGAAAGCTTGTAGGCAGTCGTGGCGCCAGGTTAAAAGAGAAGACTTCAGAGAATAGAGTGCAATGTAGGTGTGCTACTGAAGCCCTATGTTTCACTAGGTACCCATGGGAAAAATAATGATATTGAAGTTAGTGGTAATGTTGTTGTTCCTAATTAAACTCCCATCTAGTTGTGAAAACGCAATACCACCACGATTATCCATCTAGGCTGGAAACATTCTCTCTCTCTCTCTCTCTCTCTCTCTCTCTCTATATATATATATATATATATATATATATATATATATATATCGAGAAAACGATGGGAGCTGGTTGACAGTGATTCCGAAATGTCTACGCAACAAAATGATACAAGAATGCCACCGGTTACTTCATACAGGTGTCACACGGACAGCTGACCTCCTAAGACAAAGTGCATACTGGCCAGGTATGAGAGATGTTGGGAAACACGTGCTGCGTTGTCCTCATTGTCAACTGATGAAAGGTAATTGGTATGTAGACCGCCACTTCAGTCGATTCCAGTAGCAGCAGTTGGTGATCTGTGGACGTAATGGGACCATTTTCGCAGACATCTAGGGGTAACCAATACCTGTTGGTGATGACGGAGCATGCTACACGATGGGTAGATGCTGTCGCGATTCCTGATCAACGCGCGAAGACAGTGACCACAGTGGTGATGCGGCATATTGTCGCGGATAACGGTGTGCCGAAGATGATAACTAACCGACCAAGGTCCTTGTTTTGAAAGTGAAGAATTCAAATCCTGTTTGGAACAGCTTGATATCAAGAGGATAAGAACGACACCGTATCACCCGCAGACTAACGGTTTGACAGAATGGAATAACTGTACACTTAAGGAGTGGTTAGCTTCGAAAAGAGGAAATTGGGAAACGGAACTGCTGTTAATATTATTAGCTCACCGTGCCTCGGTACAAGGTACAAGAAAATTACTCCCGAAGTGGGAAGGACCATACATCATTACCGAGAGACGCGGTTCAGTTTATACCACAAAAAAGTAGACAAAGAGAGAAGAGTAAACGCCAGCCTACTTCAAAAATGGAAGCAGTGGGAAAAAGATGAAATAGTGAATGAATACCAAGAGAAGAAAACACCAAGACGATCAACACGGTTTCAAGCCCGAAATTTTTAGGGGGGCACAAGTGTAGTGGGCGTTGCTGATAACAATGGATATAAGTAGTATATGTTGAGAGGGTGGCAGGAGTTATAGGGAATTACCAGCAATGCGTAAGGATACTGTCAAGAGCAACGCAAGGGATAACGCAAGCGTATTACAGTGGATGCCGCTGATAAGAATGTATGAACAGCAAATCAAGCACATTTTGCAAATGACAAGTTCAGTGCAAGGTGTACTATATGTAACGACTACCGTTCCAATTGTTGATAATAACTGTTCTTTCCGTCGTGTTTGTCTTGTCGCTTATCAAATATATATATATAATAAACAAACCTTGAACTGTATAAAGTATGGAATTCATTGACAAAGACCTCATTCGTAATAAATGTAGCACTCGTTCCAAAATCTGTAGATTAATAAAAGACAGGAAAAAAAAACATTTCAATATTATTATTTGAGATAACTGTGGCTTGGTAGTCTTTTGTATATACTAATAGGTTAGCTACACACGGTTACTATCTAGGATAATAAAACTCATGCTCCTCCTCTCCCCTCTAATCCAAGTAGATTTAGACTAAGATGAGAAGTTCTGATTCGATAGCTATTGTGAGTATGCGATCACGTCCCGAATTCATATGGCAGTCAGATCTCGTAGAGTAGTTGGTCCTGACCCACCCACTACCTCCCCAGGTTAAAAAGATCTCAGAGAACAGAGGTCACTGGAGACGTGCTACTGAAGCCCTGTGTTCCATTAGGAACCCAAGGGACTAATAATAAAAATAAATAATAAACTTGCTGTGTTGATATGAGGTGTGACAATTTGGACAGTTATGCAGTAATGCCTGGGACCACAGTCAACCTTTCTTCGATTTCGATGGTCACTAATATTCAATTAGATAACAAGGATTATTCCTTCTAACTCTATTAGCTAAAAGTCTATTGATGATGTAGCCTAACTCAATCATTAAGATAAGCAAGGAACACGGTACGCCGCAGATGGGTGACTGACTGACCGACAAAATCAACTTACAACCTTGCACAAAGGTGCATCGGCTAAAGTTGCCATACTTCGCTGTGGAAGTAAACAAAGAACGAGTGGATAGAAAAAGGGTTAAATCAAAGTAGACAAAACTGTATGAGAGAATAAAAAATCTGAAGATGACGGTTAGTGCAAACATTCAAGCCTTAAAGATGTCAAGCAATGAATACATCTGCGACACTGTGATCAGTTTCCAGCCATGTCATCAACACTCCGCATCCACAGATTCCTTTCGTCTTGAGGACTCCCAACCGGACAGTCTACATCTCCCTCTTCCAACCTACCCTAATTTCCTCTAGCATCGCACGTCAAGAGAGGTGGTGGCACGGCTTGGCAAACACAGTATATATCTAAGCCATCTCAGTCAACTAAGGTTTGCATAACCTCATCAGTCGACTTGCTTGCCTTCGACTGACTTCAACATTCCTCACATGGTGATTCCATCACACATGGGAAGTGCTACGAAGACATGTGATCGCTTCATATCTTCTACTGTTAACGGTCATGTTTCACAGCCGTACAACAGGAAAAAACAAACTGTAGCACCGTATAATCATCGTTTGATACATAGTCAGATATCTCGTCAGTCGGCACCACAGATGACGTCACTTGCACATGCCAAACGGCCCTCGTCTATCAGAGCTGAGATTTCGTCAGCAACCAGCCCATTCAAACTGCTGCAACTCCCAAAGTAAGTAAAGTGGTCGACGTATTCCCACCACTTCACTGGTTTTCATCAAAATGCAAGTACTTGCAGCCCAGTCCCGGAGTATAATCATACAACTGACAGGTACGAAACGCATCCTAGTCAAACATACTCAGATTTCCATTCAACACGTCAGCATCGTCATCTAGCCTAACAGAACAACATTGTCTACATAATTACTTAAAGTTATATCCATTAGTACGTCCATAAGGAAGTAAAATAGCAACAGTGGACATCCATAGTGAACATCACTCCTTGAGGATGGAAAGAAATACATTCGGAAATTATTACGAGATTCGTAGATGTCAAAGATCTGGGCTTGATAAATCAGTTACAACATTCAGAAGAGATGAAAGGTGCACGAACCCAATTTGATTATCGAGAACCATGGGAATCTAGAACCGGATGTTGTTTCACTTTGTTATAGATTAGACTTCAGTTGTTGCTTGTATCATCCCGTTGTTGAGTGGACCAAATTAACCGGTCTCTAGTTGGTATATGGGTTCCTGCATGGATTCCTCGATATTGCTTATGTTTCAATTATATATTGGTGATGGATAGTGGCTAGCTGTGGAATCCAGTCTGATGCGTGTTTCGCCTCATTAGATGGATATGCTTACCTCCCAGTGACCAGTAAAACTATACCTGTTACACAAGAAATGTCTATCGTGACTCAGTGGTCTAATGGATAACAGCTCTAGCGTTTATGAAGTAATCGACCTCGAGTTCGAGTCCTAGTGGGGACAACACCAGCCACTGGAAGGTGTGTACTCTCACCTGACAAGTCCCAGATGGGATGAGATGCGCATCCTGGATTCCACTGCCAGTCGTTAGAATAGTAACAAATGATGAGAAAATTTGAAATGAGATTGTGGATGAATGACTGAGATAGAGATTTGTGGAGCTCAATTTGAAACAGGAGGGAATACAACTTAGAAACATACATACACGCACGCACGCACAGACAAAATGTCATATCCGTCAGACTTGACTAACACAGAGAGAGAAAGTCAACGGAAACGGATGAATACTGAAGAAAATTTGACCTGAAATAATAAAAAATAGATGTTAAGAATTCTGGTGAAAAAGTGTGAGAGACAACGGCATGTTTAAGCTTATAATCATCACGGACTGATATTAGTCAGAGAACTACTGGAAAGCTGTTTTGTCCCTGCATAGGACTCTTCAACAGTATGCAACTACCGCCACGTCAGGGTCCGAACTCAGTATCTTTACGTTTCGTGGTGGACACGTTAGCCACTTAGCCGCCACTGCGTCAGAGTTCACTAGTCCACAGTTTTCTAACTCCATCAAGTCACGATGAAAGGAGAAATTACTCTAAGGTTCTCTCGATTCATCTTGAACTAGTTAAGAGATACGCTAGGGAAGGCAACGAGCGTATAGCTTATAACACGGTCCCACTACATCTGATCAATTCTCCTAAAGGTATGAATGAACTGCAATAAGATGATCCATTTGAAAAAGATTTACAAACTGCATGTTAACGTTTTTTGCTCACAGCTGAGTAGTATTTTTCAACTGTGATGTCAACAAGGTTTCCACTTGGAACCAATCAGTTGAGATCACAAACGATACTACTATTAAACAATTTGAGTAGTTCAAAACAATCAACTGAATTTATCAAAGCATACGACTGATGAGGTTGGCCGAAAACGATGGAAGTCACTGATTTTTGTCTGACAACATACTTCCAAATTAATAGTCAAGCTATCTTGTCAAACTCCCGAAGGGCGACCAAAGTCTTTACAAGAACTGGCGCGGGATCACGCTCCTGTCCACTCCAAGCAAAATATTAGGCTGCATCATCCTGGAGAGACTAAAGGATGCACCAGATTCAAAACTACCACCAGAACAGGATGGCTCGATTCAGCAAGTACAAATCATGTGCGGATCAAATTGCAACGCCACACTACGCATCATCATACAACACAGTATACAATGGCAGTCAACTCTTTCTCCACCTCAAATTCATCCACTTTGAAAAGGCCAGCCTTCCACAGCAGCGACCGACAAGTATTTTGGCACGCAACTGCTTCAACACTACGCAATACCACAAACCTTTATCAACCTCATCCAACAACTATATGAAGACGCCACATGCCAACTGATTCACAATGGGAAGCTCAGTGATGCCTTTCAAGCGAAGTGAAGACAGGAGTAAGACAAGGCTCCCACCTAATATCACCTGTGATCTTCCTGACTGTGGTGGACTGGAATCATGCAGCAAACAGTGAAGAGCGAGAAGAAAATTTGGATTTCATCAACGATGAATTATGTCTTATGTCTCACAAACTAGAAGACCTATAGGCGAAAACTAACAAGTTGACAGAAGAGGCAGGGCAGGGAAAATGGGACTTCAAGTGAACGTAGAGAAGACAGAGGTGAGGAAGATACCTAACCAACAACAGCATCTACAACAAGCACCCATCATCATCAAAGGGAGAAACTTAAAGGCAGTAACCTATTTCACCTACCAACTAGGCTGCATCGTCTCAACTACAGGCGGTGGCGGTGACACAGACGAGGACGTCAAAGCCAGACAGGATTGGAAAAGCAAGACAGGCATTCATTAACCTGAAACCAGTGTGGAGATCTACTGCACTCAGCATAAAGCGTGAACAACATCCAAATTCTTAACACCAACGTCAAGTCAGTGCTTCTGTATGGCTCAGAGACTTGGTGCGTTACGAAAGGGATTTCCAACAAACTACAGATATTCATCAACAACTGCCACCTACGCTTGTTACTGAAGCTTAGATGGCCAGAAAGAATAAGCAACAAGGAACTCTGGTCTAGCAAAGAACCAACCAAGAACCTATCGCTCAACAAATATGCAGAAGGGGAAAGTGGAGATGTAATGGGTATGCACTGAGAAGACTATTCGGGGACATCACGCGTCAGGCCAGCCACTCGAGTGGAACCCAGATGGGAAACGGCGAGTTGGGCGTCTCAGTTGAGGGCGAAATGGAGGAGATGGTGTGTGAGGAAGAAATGAAAGCTTGTAGGCAGCCGCGGCGCCAGGTTCATAGGACTGCAGATAAGACAGTGCAATGGAGGCGTGCCACAGAAGCTCTATGTTCCACCAGGAACCCAAGGGACAAATAAACAAGTAATAATATAAACAGTAATGATTGATAGTGGCTAGCAGTGGGATCCAAGATGCGTCTTACCTCGGACTCGTCAGCTGGATGTACCTGCTTCCCAGTGAGTAACGTTGTTCTCATCGGGATTCGGACTCGGAAGTGATCGCTTCAAACGCCAAAGCGTTATCCACTACACAACCAAGCCTCGATAGCCACTTTTAGTATAATTGTTTTTATATTATACCATCCAACCAACGACGTTATAATATGAAAACTGAGTCAACTGGAAGTGTGCGGGCAGTTGGCACCTCTTGGCCGCCTACACTGAGGAAGGCAAGTTCTTCTTTGTGTACCTGAAAAAGAAGGGTTATTATGTGACCGCAGAGACCATGAGACACTGTTTGAGGTCGGTCAGACACGATCTTTGGGCAGCTCTAAGATTTTGGCTTTTGAATCCGACTATAAATCCCTGTTGCACGCATCGGCATGCCTTGGGGTAGTGCGGAGTATACTTTTTCTAGGGCTAAACGTTTCTAACCTCCCTCACTCTTGCCATAGAGAAGGCAGTGTCAGCATGTAAACAGTGGTTATCTAAAGGAAACACTTTACTGATGTCACACTCCTATCCGGTCAGTAGTACAACTACTGCGCCCTCAGATACCCATTATAGTGATAATGGAAACTGAGACCTCTAGGGAACAAGCCTTCCAGTTCATTGTAGCTCGTTGGATCATTATGATATACAAACCCGACTACTATGTTAAGTTAGCAGCTATCAGTCAGTAGCATTGCAAGAAAACATAAACAAAGTAGATTGATTTAGTAGGAAAAGAAAAACCTACCGTTGATGCACCGTTAACACAAACATCGAGGATAATGACATCTAAGACTTGAAGCGGTAATAATCCACCTTCCAATCGTTTCAGCATCAATTCAGTTTCAATCTCTTCAGATGTATAACCAGTCCATCTTTTACTATTCTATTAACATAAAAGCAAACAGTGGAATTAACTAATTTATAAACAATATATTGGAATATTGGTAGCACAACAAACAAGGATTATTCTAAAGCATCTACAAACGTTCCTACAAGACAGATCAGAAATAAAAGGCCCGTTTCGTATTTGCTAACTTACAATGTCTATGGTGCCGACTGGTGTGATATCCAACCGCCTATTAAACGAGAAGTAAACTGTGCTGCGATTCGTTCTGTCCAGTTACACGACTGTAAGACATGGTAATGAGGGGAGGATGTGGAGGTGAGGAAACTTGAATGCTGACAGAGTTGTGAGGGCGATTGATACTTCCCAGCTGCCCACATCGTGGAAGGCTATTTCTTCTCAAGGTACCTGAAAGAGAGCTGTGTGACCGACCGCAGAGCCCATCAGACATCTGCTTCAGGCCTGTCACACCCAGCCTTTTATGTGTGATTATTTTGATATTTTGGGGTTGGATAGTTGAAAAGAAACGACAAATGAACCAATACCACAGGCCTGGCAGACAGTGGGGCATGGTGGAGTGTTATTTTTGGGGCCGACCTTTTCTAACTCCCCACTTCCATTGAAAAGGCAGCATCAGCATGGCACAGCTGGTCATCTAAGGGAAACACCTTACTGCTGTCACACCCCATCCAGCTAACAGCTGTACGACTTCGCCCTCAGACCCCCATCATAGTGTAGTAATTTACACCACAACGGTAACTGCTTTCCGTCTAACCACTATCCAACAGACCTTTCTGGTATGATAGGACCTCGAGGGAACAAGTGTTCCACCAGCATAGCTCGTTGGGTCATTGTGATATGCAAACGCGACTACCACGTCAAGACAGCAGCTATCGGTTGGTTTGAGCCATGTGGGACGATGAAGACTAGGTAGTTGTGGTCGGTGGGACAAGAGGAAGGAGTGGTTGGAGACTGACCCTAGGTGATGTGGGTGAGAACCGATGTCAGTGGCGCAGATGTATCCCCACACAGATCATCCTCATCTTAAAGACGCTATACCGAATCTCACCACTTTCTCATTCTTCCTTTCTCTCTTTTCGTACTTCATATTTCTTTTGACTGCATTCTCTTATCTTCATCTTGCACCTCACTGCCTCTTTACTTGATGTTAACTGATGAGCTAGCGTGAACTTTAGTCGATTAAGATGGCTCGGATATTTACTACGCATGTTAAGCCACCGCCTACTGTCTGGATAGACCTAATGGATGTGTGTGACGCGCATAAATCGCCAAACTAAACGCAGCAGTGGTACGGCAGAATCTTGTAAAATACTTTCTGTTGAGTGATGAGAATCATCATTGCAAAGTAAAGAGCAAAATGGGTTCAGGTGAACTATGGTTTATTTCGATAACAAGATAAGGACATATGACGTCACATCATCACCACCATCACGATCAGCATAGAACCAGGCGTTACTGCGTAACGGTCCACACACTTTATTTCATTACATCAAGTAGCAAAGCTATAAATTGGAAGATGAAGAAAGAATGAAAATTCGGTCAAAAGAAATAAAAAGTGGCATAAGAGAGGGAGGAGGGAGAGGAAAATGATGAGGACAATGTATGTATACATCTGTGCCACTGACATAAGTTCAGAGACATGTCACCTAGGGTCTCCAACCACTGGGTTCCCATTGTCCTGCGGACCCCAATTGGGTAGTCTGCATCCTCCGACATGGCTCGAACCAACAGTTAACGACCTCATGGATTCATTCCATGTCGTAGTTTTCCTTTCCCCTCCCCTCCCCTGCTCCTAGAGCCTTTTTCCAGCATGAACCTACTTCAGCCAACACATGTCCCAACCATCTCGGTTGATTAAGGTTCACACAACCGCATCAACTGACTTTCCTCTCTCCTGCCTCCATAAAACTCAACACCTGACTTCTGTATTACTCACATAGTGACACCAAAACACAGCCTATACTACAAAGGCAACGGTGGTTAAACAATTGGAAACTTCTCATGTCTTCTACCTTTAATGGGCATGTTTCATAGTCATACAGTAAACAGAGAAGACTACAACACAGTACACTCTACCCTTAATAGATAATCGGTTATCGTGGAGGAACTACAGAAGGCGTAAGTTGGCGATAGCCAAGTTAGTCAGTGCATCACAACTGATCCGATTTCCCAGGTAAGTGAAGTGTTCAAAGCGCTCAACACTTCACTCTCTATTATTAACCAGAGCATTGTTGAAGACCAGTCCTTGGAGGAATAATTTGCATTTGGTTGACAAGAAAGGCATCCCAAACAATCTGCAAATACAGTCTTGCATTATATAGAACTGTTTACATCTTCCACTGTCTTTAAATATGCAACAAGTACTACTATTTTTAACCTTATAAGATGACCAACTATCACGCAGACTACATAACACTTATTCATAAGACAACTTACCAAAGTATTCTATGATTTCGCTAAAATTGTGACATGCTCACTAACTCCATCGAATAGCTTACTTGGTAGATTGTTGAGTCGATAGCATGGTAACAGAAGGCTGGCTTACTTTGACTACTAAGACTATTTTCACCTTACCTTCCCATCAACAGTCACTTCAACACTAGATTGACGCATATACGTATCGTTCCACGGTTATTCTATGCATAAAATAGTTGGCGGGTACAAATGCGAAGCGACACCTTGATTATGAATGGAACATCCACATATAGTCGGAAATGACTACAGTTGTAACACCGATGTATATTAAAGCAGAATAAATTCGACAGTGAACCAACACAACAAAACATCCAGAAACACATAACTGAATTATGATTTCAATCTACTGAATCACAGTGGGGGAAGTAAGTAAGTAAGTAAGCAAGTAAGTAAGTAAGTAAGTAAGTAAGTAAGTAAGTAAGTAAGTAGGTAAGTAAGTAACTAAGTAAGTAAGTGAGTAAGTAAGTAAGTAAGTAAGTAAGTAAGTAAGTAAGTAAGTAAGTAAGTAAGTAAGTAAGTAAGTAAGTAAGTAAGTAAGTAAGTAAGTAAGTAAGTAAGTAAGTAAGTAAGTAAGTAAGTAAGTAAGTAAGTAAGTAAGTAAGTAAGTAAGTAAGTAAGTAAGTAAGTAAGTAAGTAAGTAAGTAAGTAAGTAAGTAAGTAAGTAAGTAAGTAAGTAAGTAAGTAAGTAAGTAAGTAAGTAAGTAAGTAAGTAAGTAAGTAAGTAAGTAAGTAAGTAAGTAAGTAAGTAAGTAAGTAAGTAAGTAAGTAAGTAAGTAAGTAAGTAAGTAAGTAAGTAAGTAAGTAAGTAAGTAAGTAAGTAAGTAAGTAAGTAAGTAAGTAAGTAAGTAAGTAAGTAAGTAAGTAAGTAAGTAAGTAAGTAAGTAAGTAAGTAAGTAAGTAAGTAAGTAAGTAAGTAAGTAAGTAAGTAAGTAAGTAAGTAAGTAAGTAAGTAAGTAAGTAAGTAAGTAAGTAAGTAAGTAAGTAAGTAAGTAAGTAAGTAAGTAAGTAAGTAAGTAAGTAAGTAAGTAAGTAAGTAAGTAAGTAAGTAAGTAAGTAAGTAAGTAAGTAAGTAAGTAAGTAAGTAAGTAAGTAAGTAAGTAAGTAAGTAAGTAAGTAAGTAAGTAAGTAAGTAAGTAAGTAAGTAAGTAAGTAAGTAAGTAAGTAAGTAAGTAAGTAAGTAAGTAAGTAAGTAAGTAAGTAAGTAAGTAAGTAAGTAAGTAAGTAAGTAAGTAAGTAAGTAAGTAAGTAAGTAAGTAAGTAAGTAAGTAAGTAAGTAAGTAAGTAAGTAAGTAAGTAAGTAAGTAAGTAAGTAAGTAAGTAAGTAAGTAAGTAAGTAAGTAAGTAAGTAAGTAAGTAAGTAAGTAAGTAAGTAAGTAAGTAAGTAAGTAAGTAAGTAAGTAAGTAAGTAAGTAAGTAAGTAAGTAAGTAAGTAAGTAAGTAAGTAAGTAAGTAAGTAAGTAAGTAAGTAAGTAAGTAAGTAAGTAAGTAAGTAAGTAAGTAAGTAAGTAAGTAAGTAAGTAAGTAAGTAAGTAAGTAAGTAAGTAAGTAAGTAAGTAAGTAAGTAAGTAAGTAAGTAAGTAAGTAAGTAAGTAAGTAAGTAAGTAAGTAAGTAAGTAAGTAAGTAAGTAAGTAAGTAAGTAAGTAAGTAAGTAAGTAAGTAAGTAAGTAAGTAAGTAAGTAAGTAAGTAAGTAAGTAAGTAAGTAAGTAAGTAAGTAAGTAAGTAAGTAAGTAAGTAAGTAAGTAAGTAAGTAAGTAAGTAAGTAAGTAAGTAAGTAAGTAAGTAAGTAAGTAAGTAAGTAAGTAAGTAAGTAAGTAAGTAAGTAAGAGAGAGGGGGAAGGGAGAGAGATGGACAAGTGAGCACAAGTTTTCAGTCTTTCATTCACAAGCTACAAAGAATGTTCCAATGAATGAAATCTTCCCTTGGAAACAATTACAGAACACAAAGAAATAAAATAATGCTAAATTCTGTTCATATATATATATATATATAATATATATATATATATATATATATATATATATATATTTATATATATATATATTATATATATATATATACGGTAGAATCAACATAATTTCGAATATCCCATAAGGCATAAAGTAGAACAATTTTACACAAACTAGAATGATACTCACGACACACTCTGGACACCGCATTACGCAAAGTTGTGCAATATACTCATTTCAAAGAAAAAAATCTCTAGGTTACAGATATTTGATCACCGTCCCCTTTGCAGTATACGCCATATGTGGTGGCGGTGGTGGTGTCATCAAGTGAGTAACGCAGAAATCAGCTGATAAAGTCATGAACCTTCATCAACCTAGATGACTGTAACAAACACTAACACTTGCCTAGTCGTCATCTGTCATGTCATACAATGTTAGCTGAAGTAGGTTCAGGCGGGAAAACTGCTTGAGGTGTCCAGACTAAGATATGGCAATCACTCCATGTAGTACTTGATTGTTGGTCTGAACCACATATGGAGGGGAAGAGTAGCTTAATTGGAGTCCACATGACTATTTTCCATTCTTTCTTCATCTTCCGTTTTATTGCTTACTACTTGCTGTGTTGAGCTCAGTGCTTTTGAAGTGAAGACAGGAGTGAAACAAGGTTGCCTACTATCCCCCATGATATTCCTGATTGTGGTCGACTGGATCATGCAGCAAACAGTAGGCAGCGAGAAGAGGGGGATACACTGGACGACTGAAAAGAACCCAGAAGACTTGGATTTCGCCAGTGATGACTTGTGCCTGATGTCACATTAACTTGAAGATCTGCAGGCGAAAACTAACAAGTTGACAGAAGAGGCAGCGAAGACGGCACTTCAGGTAAATATACAGAAGACAGAGGTGATGAAGATACCGCACCACCACCACTAACAACAAACTCCAATCACCGTCAACGGGAGAAACTTAAAAGAAGTAACCTCCTTCACCTACACCTATCTAGGAAGCACTGTTTCAACTACAGCCGGGACGGACGAGGACGTCAAAGTCAGAATCGGAAAAGCAAGACAGGTGTTCATTAGCCTGAAACCAGTGTGGAGATCTTCTGCACTCAGCATGCGGAACAAGATAGGGATTTTCAACACCAACGTCAAGTCAGTGCTTCTGTATGGTTCAGAGACTTGGCGCGTCACGAAAGGGATTTCCAATAAACTACACACATTCATCAATAACTGTTTACGCTCGCTACTGAAGATCAGATGGATTACCAGAAAGAATAAGCAACAAGGAACTCTGAGAACGAACCAACCAAGAACCTATCACCCAACAAATATGCAGAAGGAAGTGGAGATGGATTGGCCATGCACTGAGAAGGCCGACTGGGGACATCACACGTCAGGCCAGTTGCTCGAGTGGAATCCCCATGGGAAACGACGAGTTGGACGTCCGAGGGTGACATGGAGGAGATCGTGCGAGGAGGAAATGAGAGCTTGTGGGCTGTCGTGGAACCAGCTTCAAAAGATCTCAGAGAACAGAGGTCACTGGAGACGTGCTACTGAAGCCCTGTGTTCCATTAGGAACCCAAGGGACTAATAATAAAAATAAATAATAAACTTGCTGTGTTGATATGAGGTGTGACAATTTGGACAGTTATGCAGTAATGCCTGGGACCACAGTCAACCTTTCTTCGATTTCGATGGTCACTAATATTCAATTAGATAACAAGGATTATTCCTTCTAACTCTATTAGCTAAAAGTCTATTGATGATGTAGCCTAACTCAATCATAAGATAAGCAAGGAACACGGTACGCCGCAGATGGGTGACTGACTGACCGACAAAATCAACTTACAACCTTGCACAAAGGTGCATCGGCTAAAGTTGCCATACTTCGCTGTGGAAGTAAACAAAGAACGAGTGGATAGAAAAAGGGTTAAATCAAAGTAGACAAAATTGTATGAGAGAATAAAAAATCTGAAGATGACGGTTAGTGCAAACATTCAAGCCTTAAAGATGTCAAGCAATGAATACATCTGCGACACTGTGATCAGTTTCCAGCCATGTCATCAACACTCCGCATCCACAGATTCCTTTCGTCTTGAGGACTCCCAACCGGACAGTCTACATCTCCCTCTTCCAACCTACCCTAATTTCCTCTAGCATCGCACGTCAAGAGAGGTGGTGGCACGGCTTGGCAAACACAGTATATATCTAAGCCATCTCAGTCAACTAAGGTTTGCATAACCTCATCAGTCGACTTGCTTGCCTTCGCCTGACTTCAACATTCCTCACATGGTGATTCCATCACACAGAGGAAGTGCTACGAAGACATGTGATCGCTTCATATCTTCTACTGTTAACGGTCATGTTTCACAGCCGTACAACAGGACAAAACAAACTGTAGCACCGTATAATCATCGTTTGATACATAGTCAGATATCTCGTCAGTCGGCACCACAGATGACGTCACTTGCACATGCCAAACGGCCCTCGTCTATCAGAGCTGAGATTTCGTCAGCAACCAGCACATTCAAACTGCTGCAACTCCCAAAGTAAGTAAAGTGGTCGACGTATTCCCACCACTTCACTGGTTTTCATCAAAATGCAAGTACTTGCAGCCCAGTCCCGGAGTATAATCATACAACTGACAGGTACGAAACGCATCCTAGTCAAACATACTCAGATTTCCATTCAACACGTCAGCATCGTCATCTAGCCTAACAGAACAACATTGTCTACATAATTACAAGTAATATCCATTTGTACGTCCATAAGGAAGTAAAATAGCAACAGTGGACATCCCTAGTGAACATCACTAATTGTCATCAGTTCTGATGACAACTCTCCATAAACCCTGACACGGCCGTGAGTTCGAGTAGAGAGCTTTGATCAGCATTATATACTTGCTCGGTGCACCTTTCACAGTCAGACACTACCGAAATACCTCATGGTCGACTGAATTAAATGTCGCCTTTAGATCAAGAAATACGGCACGTATCGGCTGCCAGTAGGTACGCTTGTGTTTCATAACCAACCTGTTGTACGGTGAAGATATGATCGACGAACCCTCGTCAGATTTGAAACTTAGCTGATTTTCTCGAGTTTGCTGTTCTCAAGCTCCAGTTAGGCGTCGCATAATTATGGTCCCTAGGATCTTGGACACAATATTAAGCAAACTAATTCCCTATGGTTGTCACAAGAAGATTTCTCCCCCCTTTTTACCGACTGGGATGATCAATGAAGTGGACCAATCTGACGGCACTACCTCTAATTACTATACACAACCTATTATATCCCTCAATTTAATTAGTAACTTCCTACCTCGATTCTTAAAAACTTCAGGTTACAACTGTCAGGTTCTGGTGCTTTGTATCGTTTCAGGTTCTATACAGCTTTTTCAACTGCAAGGAGAGTGTTCTGCGCAACGTCTACTCGCCTTTCCTGAGAGTTTATCAGCTTCCCACTCCTTTCGTGATGGTTTCAACTCCGTATCATCTTCTTCTTAACCGTATCCCTAATGAGCTTAAATATTTGCTGAGCGTTACCCAACGCTGATACCTTTTCCATTTCTCTCCCTTTCACCACTCACCACCACTTGAGATTGACGCGAAGACTCTTGGACAACTTACGTTTGTTTCGCTCTTCATCGTGTTCAGAACTAGCTGGAATTAGTCTTCTGAACAAATCAGTCCGGATGACGTCACGGAAACTCACTGACGTTTCCTCAGGTTGAGCATTGCTGTCATGTTCAGATAAATGCTTAGCTATCTCCTCCCTAAATTAGGACTTCACGTTCTCATCTTCTAATCAACCATAGATAGGCTTTATTGTTGCCTGTTTTCTGCGGCCATTAATATGCAGATATACACAAGACCGTAGTAGCGCATGATCAGAGTTCCAACTGGTACTCCAGAAAGAGCGGCAATCCTCCATACCTACACTAGCGAGTCTACGATAGCCGATCATTGCGTCTCCGGATACTCTTAAAGTGAATTCTGGAGATTCTCCAAAATGGTCACGTGAAATCAATTTAATAACAGCACTAGAGTCCCGATACGCGTTTCTGAAACACAGCATACATCTGTGGCTAGAGATTCCAAAGTTCTGGTGAACATGCTTACTGCCCAGTTTGGCACAAAGTTTGGGTGTTGAAAACTCCTATATGAAATCGATGGCAGGGTCTTAGGAGACTAAGAATGAGGTTTCGATGGTTTGGATTGTTGACAATGGCTGCAGAGTGACAGGTATGTCAGGCAAAGTGTAGGAAGCTTAATATTAGTATTAGGAGGAGGAAACAGAGTTAAGGAGGATAGGTTATGTTTGATTAGGTCTTGTTACCACTGGGAGTGTGCGAGTGATTGACACTTCAAAGCTTCCCACACTGTGAAAGGCTATATCTTCTCAAGGTAGCTGAATAAGAAAATCATATGTGTGACCGAAGAGCACATGGGACATTTGCTTGGGTCTGTCACATACAGCCACTCACGGATTGTTGTTTCGAGGTTTAGTTTTCCTAACACCGGATAGGTAAAACCCATACCCTCGGCACCTGAAGACCGTGCGGGGCAAGGAGAGGTGTGCTATGTTTGGGGCCGACCTTTTCTAACCCCCCTTCTCTTTGAGAAGACAGCATCAGCGTGGCACTGTTAGTCATCCGCAGAGAACACCCAACTGCTGTGATACCTCAGTCCAGTCAGCAACGACTTCGCCTCTAGACACCCCATCACAATGTAGACATTTAAACTACAATAGCAATAGTAACTGTTTTTTTTTGTCTAACCACTATCCAACAGAGCTTACTGGTATGATAAGACCTCAAGGGAACAAGCATTCCACTGGTATTGCTCGTCGGCTCATTGTGATATGTAAAAGCTCGACTAACACACATCAAGGTAACAGCTAACAGCCTAGAGTTATTTATCAACCTTCAATAGTTCATAGTTGAGTACAGTAGAATTAATAGCTTACTTTTCGCATAGCTTCCACTTTACTGTCAGTTGCTTAATAATATCCAAATATTTTAAATGCAATTCTATGAGTCGATCAACTTTTTCATGATCATTCTCTACAAATTTTGCCAGTACACGAGATTTGAATGCTTCAGGACAATGACGAAGTAGTGCAGAGATAATACTGTGAAAATAACAATAGATGATGTAGGAGATTTTAAATTTAAAAAAAAACTACTGTTTAATAATAATAATAATAACAATATGGGATTCCTCAGCAGTATACACCCACAACCTGGCTAGGGGGTCGAACTCAGAACCTTCACGTTTTATGGCTTCTTATTAGAACTTGATGATATCCATCTGGAAGCAAGTCACTAATAAGCGTTATAGCAGTAATGTATTTTTTGAGATGAATGGGGAATTTTTAATTTAGAAGTAGTATTCATCAAGAAACTGATATCAGTTAGGGAACCATTGAAAATATGGGAGCATTGGATAGCTAGATGTATAGAACTGCTCAGCAGTACGCACACAGATTTTCAATGGTTCCCTAAATGATGTCATTCCGTGATGAATACTGCCTCGAAATAATAGTAGTAAAATTTTGAGGGAGTTGTGGAGATTTCATCGTAGAATGACAACAGTTGGAGGAACAAAGGGAACCTGAGAGCACTGGACAGCTGTTTCGTCAGAAAGTATGGGACGTCCTGGAGGGTTCGATCCCTGGTGGGGTCGTGGGTGCGAACTGCTGAGGAGTCCCGTACTAGGACGAAACAGCTGTCCAGTGCTCCCAGATTTCCTTTGTTCCTCCAAATGATGTCAGTCTATGATGAATAACAACTTGAAATAACAATAATGGCTTTGTTCTGAAAGGTATTTCAGGAATACTTTACAGAATTTTTAGCATATCGTATAGGATGAAACGGAGAGAAATAGTGTATGTGTGGATACACAATGAAATGAAATAAGCTGAAATAGCATACAAAAAAGCCAAGAATATTAACTCCAGTGCAGTGTTTACTTAGGTAAACAGTCACATTTAGTGTTACTGTTTGTATTATCCCGTAGTTGATTCAACCGAATTGATCGTCTCTATTGTTATTGGGACACCTGAGCGGATGTCTCGACATTGTCTATGTTTGAATCATACATATTAATGATGGATAGCGGCTAGCAGTGGAATTGGTGGCACGGTAGTCTAGTTGGACAACGCCTTGGCGTTTGAAGCAGCGGGTACATCACTCAATGGGAGGCAGGTGTACATCCAGCTGACAAGTCCCCACTAGGATGGAAAGCGCATTCTGGATTCTTCTACTAGACACAACCAACTAAATTACCACACTTAACAATCAAGCAATATCGAGACATCCATATACCACCTGCCCATATGCCAATCACGGTAGAACAATTCGATCCAGTAAAACAACGGAGGATTGCAAGTATATCCATAAACAGTAATAACCGATACCCGTTGTTCAAGAGGTGGCTTATCGTGTCTCTATGGCCTAGTGAATAGCGTGTAGGCGTTTGAAGCGATAGATACTAGTTTCGAGTGTCGGTGGGACAAACATCATTGCTCACTTGATTTTTAGGTACACCAGTAGTTCTGTTGATAATCTTTGAAGTTCGATGCAGTATACAGCATTATCTTTTTTTCAGTAACCCAGGAAAGAAAAAAAACGGGGAACAATGCAGAAGAATGGGTAAAAACACCAGAACAGAGGCTGAATTATACCAGATACTCTCAGTTTCTCAATAGATTAAGTTAGACGAAAGATTCTTTTGGAAATTAGTAAGATATAGGAAGATCAGGAAAGATGTAAAGAACAACAAGCCAAGATAAATCACACTTGTAACATTCTTTAATACAAAGCCAAGAGGAGAACAGAAATCATAAGAACCAATCAGTACACAGATTATGTTCATCATCCTTCTAGACGACATCATCACCACTAACTTCACTATGAAGTGACCTGTCAATATCTCTCCCTCAGTGACTTAGTAGCTTGTTCTAACGATGTGGTCTGTGATTGGTTGTTTCCTTCGATTGTTGTGTTATTGACTGGCTGCATAGACTTTCCTGTTGGCTGTTCCTCTGCTTCACCTCTCACCTTTCTGTCGTCTATCACTTTTCTTATTGGTTGATAGATTGGGTCTATGTCTATACATCTGTTGTTTGTTGACTGACTGACCTGGATGCAATCAAGCCACTAAATCACCCACGGAGAGATACTGACAGCTCAATTCATACTGAAGTTAGTGTTGATGATGTCGTCCAGAAAGACGATGAAAGCTTCACGATTAAACAAACCAGAACACAATACAACCAAGACCACCCGCATGAGCTACAAATATTCTCCGCTATTTCACAGAATTGATACTAACTGAAGATGGTAAGTCATACAGAAAGACATAGAGAAAAGACCCGAATAAAGAAGGGAACCTTGGGTAACACTATCGTCAGTAAGCGATGAGGTTAAGCGCTTCCCTTTGTGAACAGTATATTATTTCCTTTCAAAGAAATACAGGAATAAACCCAGTTGATTATCCAGTACTCAATATATGTCCCGGTTAGCTTGTTCAAACAAGATATTTTGACAAAACACCATCGATAGTGTTGTTCAAAATCATCATTGTACAATATATATTCCAGTCTGTATATTTTAACTTTTCTCTTGAATGAAGTATGATGTGTTTTTTTATGTACAGCTTTGTTATACCGATATGTGAAAACTGTTCTCTGAAGCTTGTCATATATTTTAGGCAAAACAAGTACGATACAATGATATGAGCTGTTTCATTGTAATCGTAAACAATGAAGTAATCATCCTACGATACCCCATGCTTACTAGATAAGAAAAGCATATAAATTATGATCTTAAATAAACCTATTCTTTTAGTGAATAATTTCATGAATAAATTGCTGATAGTAATTCACTTTCATGTGCGGATCAAATTGTAACGCTACGCTATGCATCATTATAGAACAGAGTATAAAATGACAGTCAACCCTCTACGTCAACTTCATCGACTTTGAAAAGTCCTTCGATAGCGTCGACAGAGAAGTAATTTGGCAGGCAGTTGCTTCAACACTACGGAATACTACAAACCTTTATCAACCTCATTCAACAGATATATGACGACGCCACATGTCAAGTGATCCACAATGGAAAGCTCAGCGACGCCTTTGAAGTGTGGAGAACCAGGAGTAAGACAAGACTGACTACTATCACTGATCATCTTCCTGATTGTAGTCGACTGGACTGGATCATGCACCAAACAGTGAAGAGTGAGAAGATGGGCATACGCTGTTTGATAGATGAAAAGACCCTAGAAGACTTGAATTTAGCCCATCATGATTTATATCTAATGTTGAATGTCACACAAACTCGAAGATCTACAGGCGAAAACTAACAGGTTGATGGAAGAGGCAGCTAAGACGGGACTTCAGGTGAATGTAAAGAAGACGGAGGTGATGAAGATACCCAACCACCACCACCAACAACGACAAGCTCCAATCACCATCAACGGGAGAAACTTAAAGGAAGCAGTCTCTTTCACCTACCAACTAGGCAGCATCGTTTCAACTACAGGCGGCAGTACAGACGAGGATGTTAGAGCCAACCAGGATCAGAAACACAGTAAGACATGCCTTCCTGCATCAATCTGAAACCAGTGCGGTTCACGAAATATATAACTCAACCTTCACCTAATACCATCTTTATGTCTGACCTGGTGGTTTACCCCATCCGTCACAACTTCTCCATAGAACTTCAGAAATTTCAGTTCAGAAAAAGTCAATAATGTATAACCTCGAAATTAATTAGTTGATGTGAAGGTCTGTAGAATTACTTTCTTACTTCCCGTCATAAACAAAGAATACTATACTCAAGCAACATACATGATAGAGGTACTGAAAGAACGAAACGTATTCAACTATCTTGTGTATATTCATACACTAGACAGTGAGACAAGCGGCTAGTGATATTCCTGGTAGACGAAACCTCTTTAAGTGGAATAGGATTCAACGTATTTAGGTGTACAGACCCCACAGTATGTGGACCAGAGTTCGGTTGATTGTCGAAGCTAATGAGACACAGTTTAACACAGTTTCATTTCCGTAATTATTACGTAACTATTTAGAATGAGTTTAAATGAACTCTCCTTTCTGTTCAGATTTCGGGTGGCTAGATTAAAAATATGGTACCAGTCAATAAAGTCCTTGATTGTTGGTTTTAGGCCGTGTAGAGACATACAGACTGAATGATGGGGTCGGTAGGACAACAGGAATAAGTGGTTGAAAATTAGTGACAGCCATCATGTTATGTTTGAATAAATGTGAAGTACGTTTTGAATTTGTATACATTCACGTAATAGGCTAGGAAAATGATGTGTAGAAGCGAATTAAAAAAATATATTCATCTTGGAGACTAGCAGTCGGATTTAGCTTGACGCGTGTTTCGTCCTATTTGGGACTCGTCAGGGGGATGTACCCACCTCCCAGTGAGTGATGTTGTTCCCACTGAGACTCTAACCTCATACCTATCGCTTCAAACGCCTACACACTATTCACTAGGCCATAGAGACACGATAGCCACCTCTTGAACAACAGGTATTGGTTATTACTGTTTATGGATATACTTGCAATCCTCCGTTGTTTTACTGGATCGAACTGTTCTACCGTGATTGGCATATGGGCAGGTAGTATATGATGTCTCGATATTGCTTGATTGTTAAGTGTGGTAATTTAGTTGGTTGTGTCTAGTAGAAGAATCCAGAATGCGCATTCCGTCGTATTGGGGACTTGTCAGCTGGATGTACACCTGCAACCGAGTGAGTGTTACCCTTCCTACTAAACTCGAAGCAGCATCCATCGCTTCAAACTCTAGAAGTTATCCATCAGACCATGAGACACGAGAGCCACATCTTGTGCAACAGGGATCACTTACGGCGTTAATACTTATAATTCCCCGTTGCTAAACAGGATCGAATTGTTCAACCTCTGTGTGCAGATGGGTTCCGATCTGGATACCTCGATACTCTATAGGATATTAATTAGACAATCCAGGTGATAGTTATGACGGGTGATGATCGGAGAAAAACAGAATTATTGAGGAGAAACAAAACAAAAGGGGGGTTATCTTACACATAAAAACATTAACACTAAATAGTAGAGTCAGAAATGTTCAAAATTAAGTTTACTCACTTGATTACATGTTCTTCCATCTCAGCTGAAGTTGGACCACTGATCACTTTCACTTTAGATCCAGATGAAGTAGAGCGTAGAGCATGTTCACGTGGAGTATGCATAAACAATGGGAAAATAGTTCTAAGACCAAGTACTTCAACAAATTTAGAACAATTAGCTATAACAATAGCTTCAGGATCAAAGATGTAGAGGTAGATTTTTGATGTAATTCTAATTCACCAGAATTTTGATTAGTTGATTGAGATGTTGTGATAGGGCATAAAGTGTAGTCAAGAACACGTAGAGCACTATCACGAGACATATGTTTCTCACTATTAAAGGGAATATAAGCTAACATAATTAAAACTGAACACCTACTAAAACGTGGTATAGTGTTACAATGAAAATATACTTAAACAACTAAAGAAGAGAAGTACCTACGTTGGATTGCAGGATAAAACGAAGGACCGACGATGGTTTAGATACTACCGTCCAACAAGTATCCCAACTTCAAGTCATCTCATCCAAACTCGTATGAATATGCAGGAAACGAAATAATAACAATAACACGAGTATGAATAATAACGACAACACAAGTAGAAAGGAGTTCACAGACTCTATTATGTTACCCTATTGGCACTCAACGACTGTGCAATACAAGTTATAATATTAGAATAGATAATACCCTGACATATAAACTATCGAAGTACGATTATTATTTGCCCCTCGGGCTCCTAGTGGGAAATACAGTTTCAGTAGCACACACACATTTCACTCTCTTCTCTCCACTCTCTTCAACCTAGATCCACACCACTACCCACAACCTCTCATTTATTCATCACACAATCTCCTCCATATCACCCTCACCTCAAACAAACAACTCATACCTTCCCATTTCGATTCCACTCCACCACCTCGTCTCATCTGTCATGTACCCAAGTGGTCTGCTCACTGTATGCTCAATCCAATCCATCTCCATCTCCACCTCCATCTTCTTCTCCATATTTCTTGGACGATAGCTCCTCGTTTTCTTGATTCCTTCACACAGTCAATTCATTGTCGCTTATTATTTCCCACCATCTCATCTTCATCATCGACTGAAAGTAGACAACACCTGTTGATCATCTATCTATCTCTGTACTTTGTTGCAAATGCCCCCCGTAACGCCACAACTCTCTCAACCATCACATAGAAGCACTCACTCACTCACTTCACTCACATTACAGTTGAAAATCAAAATCTCCTTCACACCTCATCTTCACTGAAGTGCAGTGCAGTGCAGTAGATCTCAACACTCATTTCACATTAATCAAGGGAGGCCTGTCTTACCTTTCCGATTCTCCATTTCACGTCCTCATCTCAGCCGCCAACACCACCATCAACACCACCACCGCCGCCACCTCCTGTACTTCAAACGATCCTCACCTACCTACCTAGGTCAAAGAGACTACTCCTTCTCGGTTTCGTCGTCATTGGGTATCTTCATCATCACCTCTGTCTTCTCTACATTCACTTCAAGTCCCGTCTTCGCTCTCTCTTCTGTCGTCAACTTCTTGGTTTTCGCCTGTACATCTTCTAGTTTGTGCGACATCAGACATAAATCATCATCATCGGCGAAATAGTTGACTTCAGAAATACCCCATAACATATGAAATAGCAAGGTACTTAGCTTCGATACTATGCCCTATTAGAAACTGTTCAAATTCCAGACTAATAAGCTCTTATGAGTTAAAACTAAGGCTTAATGACCTACACATAGAAGAGGATGAAAAAATGGTTAGCTTCGATGTAACTAGTCTGTATATTAAAATACTAATCAAAATGGTACTGGAGGAAGTGAGAAGTCAACTAAATATTGACTCACAACTTACAGAACTAAGATATCGTTTGATGAGATTATATTAAGCATACAGTTATGCCTGACCTCCACAGTCTTCAAGTTTCAGGACAAATATACAGACGGACACAAGGAGTTGCAATGGGATCATCAATATCCTCAATCGCAGCAGATATATTTATAGATAGTTAAGAAAACATGGCATTACAAACGTTTAGTCCTGCACCAAAAATATAGTGGCGATATACGAATGACACATTTATTGTGTTGAAATCGGAACATATCGACAATTTCATTACACATATAAACTCAGTAGTAAACGCAATCCAATTCACTTATGAGGAGGTAGAAAATGAACAAGAAGTATCTATGTTGGATTGCAGGATAAAATGAAGGACATATGGTGGTTTGGATACTACCATCTACAGGAAATCGATATATTCCAACAAGTATCCAGACTTCAAGTCATCTCATTCAATGTCAGCCAGTGAAAGGCAGGTTTAGTCAAATGTCTAAGAGATAGAGCTAGAAAATCGATTACTCATTGCAAGGACTTAAACAAGGCCATTGAAACACATAAAAGAAGCGCTGATAGTTAATAATTATCCTCCTTAGTTTATTAATAAATTCGTACGAATACGCAGGAAGAGAGATAATAACAATAACACGAGTACGAATAATAACGACAACACAAGTAGAAAGGAGTTCACAGCCTCCATTGTGTCGACCCCAAGCGAAATATTAAGCTGCATCATCCTGGAGAGACTAAAGGATGCACCAGATTCAAAACTACCACCGGAACAGGCTGGATTCAGGAAGTACAAATCATATGCATCATCATACAACAGAGTATAGAATGGCAGTCAACTCTTTCTCCACCTCAAATTCATCCACTTTGAAAAGGCCAGCCTTCCACAGCAGCGACCGACAAGTATTTTGGCACGCAACTGCTTCAACACTACGCAATACCACAAACCTTTATCAACCTCATCCAACAACTATATGAAGACGCCACATGCCAACTGATTCACAATGCGAAGCTCAGTGATGCCTTTCAAGCGAAGTGAAGACAGGAGTAAGACAAGGCTCCCACCTAATATCACGCATGATCTTCCTGAGTGGGATGGACTGGATCACGCAGCAAACTGTGAAGAGCGAGAAGGGGGGCATACGCTGCACCGATGAAAACACCCTAGAAGATTTGGACTTCACCGATGATGATTTATGTCTAATGTCTCACAAACTAGAAGATCTGTAGGCGAAAACTAACAAGTCGACAGAAGAGGCAGGGCAGGGAAAACGGGACTTCAAGTGAATATAGAGAAGACAAAGGTGATGAAGATACCCAATCAATACCACCAACAAACACCAATGAGCATCAACGACAGAAACTTAAAGGAAATAGCCTCTTTCACCTATCTAGGTAGCACTGTTTCAACTACAGGCGGCAGTATGGACGAGGATGTCAAAACCAGGATCGGAAATAGAGCAAGACAGGCTTTCACTAATCTGAAATAAGTGTGGAGATCTACAGCACTTGGATAAAGCGTAAACAACATCCGGATTTTCAAAACCAATCCACTCAAGTCAGTGCTTCTATATGGTTCAGAGAGTTGGCGCGTTACGAAAAGCATTTCCAACAAACTACAGACATAGATCAGATGACCAGAAAGAATGAGAAACAAGCAACTCTGGCTGGCGAAGAGCCAATCAAGAACCTATCGCTCAACAAATATGCAGTGGAAGGAAGGGGGGATGGATCGGGCATGCACTGAGAAGACCATTTGGGGACATTACGCACCAGGCCAGGCACTCGAGTGGAATCCAAAGAGGAAACGACGAGTTCAGCGTCCCAGTTGATGGTGACATGGAGGAGATGGTGTGAGGAAGAAATAAGAGCTTGTGGGCAGTCGTGGAGTCAGGTTCAAAAGGTTGCAGAAAAGAGAGTGGAATGGAGGCGTGCTACTGAAGCCCTATGTTTCACCAGGAACCCAAGGGATAAATAATAATAATAATTGTGTTGCCTTATAAGTGAGGAATATCAGAAACATTATATAGGATTCTCAACAAAGCTGAAATTCGGGTGGCATTTCAACCCACAACCACACTCAGAAATAAGCTTTGTCGACCTAAGGGTCCAACAGAAACAATTAAGTAAAGTAGTCTAATGTATCAAATTTCATGTAATGACTAAGAGGTCAAGTACAAAGGTCAGCGAAATTTCGTTCATTATAGTAGAATAAAACGCAAAACTCTCTGTACAAAAAGATTTCAATGTGTGAAATATACCCATCAGCATAAGAAAGAAGAACAAGAAAGGTATTTCAGTGAAAAGTCTCTTACCGATGATTTCATCTTCAAAGCTGTACAGTAAGAAATTTCTACATTTTTCGAGTGTAAAAATTTGATAGTTAAAAAACAGCTTGGTAAGCATCGCAGGCAACACAAATAGTGTCAATCATATGAGATATCATTAAGACTAAAACATCAACCGAAGCTCGATGACTAGCGAATATTGATCCAAATAAGTTTCGACATGAAGTTTCGTAACATGACGATGATATAATCGTAAAGGGAATTGTGATCAGGCTGAGCAAAGCACCAAGGATACGTAGCAAACTGTTCACGAAGTGAATAGTATGAAAAGAGAAAAAGGGTAGACGAGGGATAGACGAGACTGAAATCTAAGATCATGAAAGGAGAAGAGGTTGAAAAATCTTCTTTTGTGTACACAGATCACATTTCTCCATATGGATGGATGGATGGATGGACGGCAAGAGATTCGGCGATGTAGACAATAAGAAGACATACATCCTTCGGGAGGTTTCTTTTCACTGTATAGATTACTCTGAACGAAGAGGTTTTTGAGATGTGATGATTCATGTTAACGCTGTGTTTAATTATGACACTCCTTATCGCCCCATTATTACCATTTTCCAACTATGCGGGATAGTGTCCTTGGACCATTTTTTGGATAACAGTCGCATTCAACGACCTATATACCTGGCTCCACAACAACAGGTAAATTGATATATGCGAAACCTGATCATATCTCTTGCCACTCGTATTAGATGAACCGGGAGTGCCATTGGAAGAGGGAATTTCTGTTCTAGAGAATATCCTCACTGAAGACGAATTCCCATCACACTTCATAGACAAACAAATTTAAACCTAGACATCGTAAAGAGAGCCTTACCACCGTATCAAAAAAGGAAACTCTACATGAATATAAACTAGAAAGATGATTCTGCCACGGAGACTCTAAAAATGAGGATATCAAACGGTGTAAGGAGAACATTCTTTGTGTCAACACTCAGACTAGTATCCTCTTGGCGACCAACAATTTCTAATAACTCAAAAGAAAATCTTTCACATCTGACCACTTCTATGTGCATATATCAATTCACCTGTTGTTGAGGAGCCAGGTATATAGGTCGTTCAATGCGATTGTTATCCAAAAAGGTTCAAGGACACTATCCCGCATAGTTGCAAAGTGGTAATAATGGGGCGATAAGGGATGCCATAATTGAATTCAGCGTTAACGCGAACCACCCCATCTCAAAATCCTCCTCTTTCAAAGTCATCTATAAAATGAAAAGAAACCTCCCGAAGGATGTATGTCTTCTTATTGTCTACATCGCCGAATCTCTTGCCGTCCATCCATCCATCCATCCATATGGAGAAATGTGATCTGTGTACACAAAAGAAGATTTTTCAACCTCTTCTCCTTTCATGATCTTAGATTTCAGTCTCGTCTATCCCTCGTCTACCCTTTTTCTGTTTTCACACTATTCACTTCGTGAACAGTTTGCTACGTATCCTTGGTGCTTTGCTCAGCCTGATGGCAATTGTCTCATACATCCATCCAGATCAACCTAGGATCAGGCATTACTGTGTAACACTCAAACTCGCCACATCTCATATATCATCACATCAACTAAAAAGACAGTGACGCCCAACATGAAGATTAGACAATACAGTCAAAAGAAATATAAACTACGAAAAGAGAGAGAGAGAGAGAGAGAAAGGAAGAATGACAAAATGGTGAGATTCGGTATAGCGTCGTTAGATGAGGATAATGTGTGTGTGTGTGTGTGTGTGCGGCGATAAATCTGCTCCACAAACATCCGTTCTCACCCACATCACCCACAGTCAGTCTCCAACTACTCCTTCCTCTTGTCCCACCCACCCCAACCACCTAGTCTACATCACCCCCCTACATGGCTCAAACCAATAGTCAGACACTTCATACATTGGTGCCATGTTTTAGTCTAGCCACCTCCACCCTTCTTCCAGTCTAAACCTACTTCAGTCAACATTATGTGATGAGGCAATTGGCGAATAGGCATACGTAACACATGTTGGAGCCAACCATCTCAGTCCATCAAGGTTCACAACCTCGTCAACTGACTTACCTCTCCTCTCTCCCTTAAACTCTACTCCTGACTTCTGCGTTACTCACCTGGGGACACCAGAACACACAGCATGTACTACGAAGGCAACGGTGGTCAAACACCTGAAGCCAGCCCTCTCATGTCTTCCACCTTCAATGGCCATGTTTCACAGCCATACAGTAGAACATAGGGGACTGCTGTGCAGTATACACGACCCTTAATAGACAATCGGATATCACGGCGGCACCACACGTGGCGTAAGTTGCAGAAGCCAGCCAAGCCTTTTGTATTCATGCAGAGAATCACCGGCCACTGAGCCATTAGGGCTGAGATCCTACCTCCTAGGTAAGTGAAGTGGTCGACACACTCACTCCCTATTGTTAGCCGCGGTAGGGCATCGTTGAAGACCACCAATTCTGGAGTAATAATTTGTATTTGGGTAGTGAGAAACACATCTCAAACATTCTCAAATTTCCACTCAAAGTCTTCAGATGACTCTACATCTTATCAGCGTCTTCATTTAACACGACTATGTCATCTGCATATTCTAGATCTAACAAAAATTCTCCACCGATTAGGTCAACGTCTGTGTATTCACTAGTCATCAGGTGGTTTTGGTTGATGTTGACACTATTTGTGTTGCCCGTGATGCTTAACCAATCGGTTTTTTTAATTATTAAATTCTTACAGTAGAAAAGTTGTATATATATTTGGAAGTGTATAGCTTTGAAGATGAAATTAACGGTAAGAGACTTTTTATTGAAATATCTTACTTGTTATTCTTTCAAAAAGATTTTATTATTTTTATTATTATTAGTCTCTTGGGTTCCTAGTGGAACATAGGGCTTCAGTAGCACGCCTCCAGTGACCTCTGTTCTCTGAGATCTTTTGAACCTGGTCCCACGACAGCCCACAAGCTCTCATTTCCTCCTCGCACAACCTCCTCCATGTCACCCTCCGACGTCCAACTCGTCGCTTCCCATGGGGATTCCACTCGAGTACCCGGCCTGACGCGTGATGTCCTCGGTCGGCCTTCTCAGTGCATGGCCAATCCATCTCCACTTCCTCCTGCATATTTGTTCACCGATAGGTTCTTGCTTTGTTGGTTCGTTCCCAGAGTTCCTTGTTGCTTATTCTTTCTGGCAATCCATCTGATCTTCAGTAGCGAGCGTAAGCAGTTATTGATGAATGTCTGTAGTTTATTGGAAATGCCTTTCGTGACGCGCCAAGTCTCTGAACCATACAGAAGCACTGACTTGACGTTGGTGTTGAAAATCCGTATCTTGTTCCGCATGCTGAGTGCAGAAGATCTCCACACTGGTTTCAGGCTAATGAACACCTGTCTTGCTTTTCCGATTCTGACTTTGACGTCCTCGTCCGTCCCGCCTGTAGTTGAAACAGTGCTTCCTAGATAGGTGTAGGTGAAGGAGGTTACTTCTTTTAAGTTTCTCCCGTTGACGGTGATTGGAGTTTGTTGTTAGTGGTGGTGGTGCGGTATCTTCATCACCTCTGTCTTCTCTATATTCACCTGAAATCCCGTCTTAGCTGCCTCTTCTACCAACTTGTTAGTTTTTGCCTGCAGATCTTCAAGTTTATGTGACATCAGGCACAAGTCATCGGCGAAATCCAAGTCTTCTAGGTTCTTTTTAGCAGTCCAGTGTATCCCCCTCTTCTCACTCCCCACTGTTTGCTGCATGATCCAGTCCACGACAATAAGGAATATGATGGGGGATAGTAGGCAACCTTGTTTCACTCCTGTCTTCACTTCAAAAGCATCACTGAGCTTCCCATTGTGAATTACTTGGCATATGGCATCTTCATATAGTTGTTGAATGAGGTGGATAAAGGTTTGCGGTACTCCGTAGTATTGAAGCAGTTTCCAAATTACTTCTCGGTCGACACTGTCAAAGGCCTTCTCAAAGTCGATGAAGATTTTAATAATTGAAAATTATTTAAAACAAAGATGATTAACAACTTACCGAAGCATTAAATTCATCAATTGTATACCTTCACCTTTTAAAAATTTATCTTTATTTTCTGTTAACATAAGTGAACTACATAGGCAATCAAATAAATTCAGCATTAATTCAATCTCTTCTCGATTCGATGGATCATGTCGTTTATAAACAGATAATTGTTGTAATAAAATATCAATTCCATCAACTTCACCAAGTTGACGACGATTTAATTCATCCATTTGTAATAATATTGATAATAATTCACTAACATAAAGTTTATTCTTATCATAAATTGGACGTCTTTGTAAACGTCGAAGAAGCCAAGCAAATAAACCTTGATTTGACATAATCACATTCATATCTGGACGAATTTCTAATAAACTCTCAACAATTCCTATAAAAGTATATATAGATATGAAAGTATAAGTAATGAATAATACATAATATAAAAAGTGCACAATTCTACAATTTAATATTATTATCATTATTTGTCCGTCGGGTTCCTAGTGGGAAATACAGTTTCAGTAGCACATACACATTTCACTCTCTTCTCTCCACTCTCTTCAACCTAGATCCACACCACTACCCACATTTCATTTCTTCCTCACACAATCTCCTCCATATCACCCTCACCTCAAACAAACAACTCATACCTTCCCATTTCGATTCCACTCCACCACCTCGTCTCATCTGTCATGTACCCAAGTGATCTCACTGTATGCTCAATCCAATACATCTCCATCTCCACCTCCACCTTCTTCGTCTCCATATTTCTTGGACGATAGCTCCTCGCTTTCTTGATTCCTTCACACAGTCAATTCATTGTCGCTTATTATTTCCCACCATCTCATCTTCATCATCGACTGAAAGTAGACAACACCTGTTGATCATCTATCTATCTCTTTACTTTGTTGGAAATGCCCCCCGTAACGCCACAACTCTCTCAACCATCACATAGAAGCACTCACTCACTCACTCACTTGACTCACATTACAGTTGAAAATCCAAATCTCCTTCACGCCTCATCTTCACTGCAGTGCAGTGCAGTGCAGTGCAGTAGATCTCCACACTCATTTCACATTAATTCAGGGAGGCCTGTCTTACCTTCCCAATTCTCCATTTCACGTCCTCATCTCAGCCGCCAACACCACCATCAACACCACCACCGCCACCTCCTGTACTTCAAACGATCCTCACCTACCTACCTAGGTCAAAGAGACTACTCCCTCTCGGTTTCGTCGTCATTGGGTATCTTCATCACCTCTGTCTTCTCTACATTCACTTCAAGTCCCGTCTTCGCTCTCTCTTCTGTCGTCAACTTCTTGGTTTTCGCCTGTACATCTTCCAGTTTGTGCGACATTAGACATCAGACATAAATCATCATCATCATCATCATCATCATCGTTGGCGAAATCCAAATCTTCTAGGGTCTTTTCATCGGTCCGGAGTATGCTCATCTTCTCACAGCTCCTCACAGTTTGTTGTATGATCCAGTCGACCACAATCAGAAAGATCATCGGTGATAGTAGGCAGCCTTGTCTTACTCTTATCTTCACTTTAAAGGCATCACTCAGTAGAATATATGTATGCAAATATATATGAGTAGTCGTGACATGTGGCGTTAACCAAGTAGGGTGGGAAAACCAATACTTGCCAGTAAGAAAGCGCACCCCATTGGATTCCAACTCAATAAATGAATGTTAAGGAGCTCATTACCGAGATCTAATCGTTCTCGGCTTGGTCACTTGTCGGAGCGAATTGCTGAAATGTAAACTATGATGAAACAGTTATCCAATGTTCTAACTGATGTTTCACTTCCAAAAGAAAGCTAACGTGAAAGAACTTATAAAGCTTGAGGAAATGTTGATTCATATAATAGTAGCTGGACATAGTTTCAGCCATCCATCAAGTCTCCGAATGCTAGTTCTTATCGTCGAGGTAGGTGGTGGATCGGCACACGCAGTACATGTTCACTCCATCTCAGTCGACAAAGGCTTACAACCTTATCAATTGACTTGCCTGCCTTGCCTAGTACCCTTCGTGTGACCTCAACATTACTCATACGGTGACTCCATTAAATGTGAGAAATGTTACGATAGCCGATCTGATCTCTTAAAGTAGTGGTCCAGCTTCCATATAACAATGACCCAATTAGCTAAACTGACTGAAACGCTTATTCCCTCAAGGTTCTAACCGTATCAGAAAGGTCTGTTGTATAATGGTAAGATAAAAAGCAGTTACCGTTGTAGTGTCAATTACCACACTATGAATAGGGTCTGAGAACGAAGTCGTACTGCTAACTGGTTAGCATGTGACAGAAGTTAGGTGTTCCCCGTGGATGATCAGGAGTGTCACGCTGATACTAACGTTCCAACAATAAGGGGGTTTAAAAGAGGTTAACCTTCAAAATAACACATTCCACTTTATCTCACGGTTTTCCGATACCGGCAGTATGGGTTTTCTCTATCCAACATTCATCTATCCATCATCCAGATCAACCTAGGATCAGGCATTACTGTGTAACACTCAAACTGGACACATCTCATATATCACCACATCAACTAAAAAGACAGTGACGCCCAACATGAAGATTAGACAATACAGTCAAAAGAAATATAAACTACGAAAAGAGAGAGAGAGAGAGAGAAAGGAAGAATGACAAAATGGTGAGATTCGGTATAGCCTCGTTAAGATGAGGATAATGTGTGTGTGTGTGCGGATACATCTGATCCACAAACATCCGTTCTCACCCACATCACCTACAATCAGTCCCACTGACCCCAACCACCTAGTCTACATCACCCCACAGGGCTCAAACTAACAGCCAGAGACTTCATACATTGGTGCCATGTTTTAGTATGGCCACCTCCACCCTTCTTCCAGCCTAAACCTACTTCAGCCAACATTATGTGATGAGGCAATCGGTGACTAGGAATACGTAACATGTGTCGGAGCAGACCATCTCAGTCGATGAAGGTTCACAACCTCGTCAACCCACTTACCTCTCCTCTCTCCCTTAAACTCTACTCCTGACTTCTGCGTTACTCACCTGGGGATACCAGAAGGCAACGGTGGTCAAACACCTCAAGCCTCTATCCAACATCAGAACAATCAAATCTCGAAACAATAACGCAGAAAAGGCTGTATTTGACAGGCCTCTCTATTTCAGGTATTCAAAGAAGAAACTGCCTTCCTTAGTAGTGTAGACAGCCTGGAAGTGTCAACCGCTCACAAGCTTCTAGTAGTACAAACGTTTTAAAGGCTATGCCAGTGATAGTTGCCAATATGACAATCATATATCTAGATAACAAATGGAACAACTAGCTACTGTTACAAGTAGGAACATTTCAATAGTGAAGGATAACTGTAACACCTGGATTAGCCAGGCCTTGGAACTTATCATTTGAAAGTCAAGTGTCTAACTAAACCAATAAACAACAGTCATGCATAATTAATAACTATGCTCAAAATATAAAATAACATGAGATAGAATAGAAAATAAACTACTCACCAAGTGTTTTATGCACACCATTAGCTTCATCTTTTTTTGTTTCATCTAAACGTGAAATATTTTGTATTAGTGATTGTATCAATTGACCAGAAAATAACACTTCTAAGAATGAATTAACTTTGCTTAAACCAGCGTCTTTTAAACAACTCGATTCAAGTAATTCATGCAATAAATCTATAACAGACAGACTGATATCTGTATTCTCATGCGCCAATAAACCTAACAATAAAGATATTGGACGAGTTTGTTCCGCTAAAACTGGATACAATTCAGGATTTGCTGCAATAATCTACAACAAAAACAACAACAAAAAAAAAAGAAGAAAAGGCAAAGTGAATAAAAATTGAATGATTCTCTTGTGTACTACTTTACTGGGCATGCTAAGCCACCACCTATCATGACGTGGTTATGCTATAAGAAAGATGGATTAGGTTAGAAGAGAATTTGGGGTGGCTAAACCAAGACCTAACTATTCGAGGACATCATGTGTCACGCCTTCCAGTGGAGTCCAAATGCGAAACGATAAGTTGAGCGCTCAAGGGTGACGCGGAGGAGATCATATGAGGAAGAAATGAAAGCTTCTGGGCAGTCGTCATAAGACTGTAGAGAAGAGAGTGGAATGGAGGCGTGCTACTGAAGCCCTATGTTCAACTAGGAACCCAAGGGATAAATAATTATAATAAAGCAAAACCTGGCACTAGTTGATAAAGTCCCTAACTGTTGGTCTGAGTCGTATGTAGAGAGAATGTAGACTTCCTGGTTGACTTCCTTGAGACAAAAGGAACCAGTGGTTGAAGAGTCTTAGTGATATGGCTGGAAATTGATCGCAATGTTACAGATGTATTCACTCGTTGACATCTTCTAAAGCTTGAATATTCAACAACTTGAACTGATGCACTTTTATGAACGATTCTATGTTGATTTTGTTAGCCATACAGTCAGAATAACTTTATGACTTCAAAGGAAAGTGATAGGAAGCGGTCAGAATGGAAACCAACATTTTAAGTCATTAGTTATGAAGACAGAAGTTTTTAGAGGTCAGTTGTTATTTCATCTCACTGTGTGGTGGGTCAAGAAAAACCTGATTGGATAATTTTGACCTTCAGCCGACCAATGAAAATAAGTATCGAACTTCTGACCTATTGGTTTCATATATTGATGAAAACTGTATATAAATGGTGTGTTTTTGTTGAATAAAGTATCTTCCCTAAAGTCATAGGCCTGTCTACGTCTTCTGCTTTTCGCAGCTAAGTGAAGATATAAGGTTCTGGTGCAGAACAATCGCTATCTGTATCCAGTATAAGTGTTTCACCATGTTATTAGTACTATTATTCACTAGATTACTTCAGAAAGTAACAAGTAAAAGAAAATGGTTGAATAAACATAATTCTCTCATTTCACGTATAACAAAAGACCATGACAAAGAAGACTGACGCGTAGCGTAGTCTACGTTGGATATTCGGATCTATAGCAAGTAGTGAACATATTGCGAGCCAATCAATCCTGATATTGACTTCTGTATGATACCTGAGTTAGTTCGTAACCAATAAAAATAATATTTCATTTATGTTTTGTATAAAGACGACGGTTCTCACCAGGCATGGGAGATCACCTTACATTTACTAATGTTGAATATATTCCATTAATACTTTCTGAGCAGTACACTTATAGTACAGTTTATAGTCATGAATAAATCTTTCTGAGGATACGACCGTGTTTTTTTACGTCATCGCAATTTTAACCTTTTAACCTTCAGCTTCACACGATCTAACCACTAACTCCTAAGAATGCCAGAGACGAAACGAGTGAAACGTACTCAGCTACCATGTGCACGTCCGTCCAGTAGACAATGAGTCACACCTCTGGAGGTGGAGCAGGGTTCGGATCCATAACCTAATAGTTGACGGTCATCCCCCTAAACCATTGCGCTGCAGCTTCAAACAGGTACAGTAACAATATCAACATAGGGCGTGCAGCGTAGCGGTCCACGTTGCCACACTTCACATTACACAATCTCCTCCATATCACACTCACCTCAAACAAACAACTCACACCTTAACATTTCGATTCCACTCCACCACCTCGTCTCATCTGTCATGTCCCCAAGTGGTCTTCTCATTGTATGCTCAATCCAATCCATCTCCACCTCCATCTTCTTCTCCATATTTCTTGGACGATAACTTATCGCTTTCTTGATTCCTTCACACAGTCAATTCATTGTCACTTATTATTTCCCACCATCTCATCTTCATCATCGACTGAAAGTAGACAACACCTGTTGATCATCTATCTATCTCTGTACTTTGTTGCAAATGCCCCCCGTAACGCCACAACTCTCTCAACCATCACATAGAAGCACTCACTCACTCACTCACTTGACTCACACTACAGTTGAAAATCAAAATCTCCTTCACACCTCATCTTCACTGAAGTGCAGTGCAGTGCAGTAGATCTCAACACTCATTTCACATTAATCGAGGGAGGCCTGTCTTACCTTCCCAATTCTCCATTTCACGTCCTCATCTCAGCCGCCAACACCACCATCAACACCACCACCGCCACCTCCTGTAGTTCAAACGATCCTCACCTACCTACCTAGGTCAAAGAGACTACTCCCTCTCGGTTTCGTCGTCATTGGGTATCTTCATCACCTCTGTCTTCTCTACATTCACTTCAAGTCCCGTCTTCGCTCTCTCTTCTGTCGTCAACTTCTTGGTTTTCGCCTGTACATCTTCCAGTTTGTGCGACATTAGACATCAGACATAAATCATCATCATCATCGTTGGCGAAATCCAAATCTTCTAGGGTCTTTTCATTGGTCCGGAGTATGCTCATCTTCTCACAGCTCCTCACAGTTTGTTGTATGATCCAGTCGACCACAATCAGAAAGATCATCAGTGATAGTAGGCAGCCTTGTCTTACTCTTGTCTTCACTTCACACGCATCACTGAGTTTTCCATTGTCAATCCCTTGGCATATGGCGTCGTCATATAGCAGTTAAATGAGGCTGATAAACGTTTATTGCACTAAAATCGTAATGTTGAAGCAGCTGCCTGCCAAATTACTTCTCGGTCAACGCTGTTGAACGCCTTTTCCAAAATCGCTGAACTTGAGGTAGAGAGTTGACCACCATTTTATGCTCTCTTCTATGATGATGCGTAGCGTTGCGTTGCAATTTAATCTGCACATGATTTGCACTCTTCGAATCCAGCGCAGGATGATACCGCTTAATATTTTTCTCGGGGTGGTCAGGAGCCGGATTCTGCTCCAGTTCTCAAAAAGGCTTAGGTCACCCTGTGTTGTCCGCTCCCAGTTTGGCATTCATGTCACCCCACTCACCCATTAGAATGAATTAAATGTCACCAACTAGGGTCTTGTCCAGTTCTGATTGCAGTTGTCTGTAGAATTTTCCCTTCTTCTCTTCATATGCATTATTCTTAGGTGCGTAGTATAGCAATGTATGATTGTGACTTTCCTTCCTTTTGCGTTAAATCTTGCCGTCATGATCATACAGGAGGAGATTGGTCCTCTCTGTATGGGAGCTTTTGACGCTTTTAGGAACATCATGTTATCGACTCCAAAACTCAGTGTGCTAGTGGTCGTCGCGTGAGTGACAATATCGGAGTAGATTATTGACTCTCCAGTTAACAGTTTAAAGAGTCCACTCCCATTCCATCTACTTTCGCAGATTCCAAGCACTTCTATGCTATACCTTCTCATCTCCTTTGGAATCTTGGCAGCCTTGCTAGGTTCATACATGGCGCGGATATTTATGTCCCCTTCCTCACTTTCGCTTTCATCCAGGGAAGACGTATCGACCGATTGGCTTCCACCAACCGGTGTCATTCCGTCTCCCCGACCTCAGCAAGGAATAAGTTTATTTTCATTTTTTATATTTTCATTGTGCTTTGAAGTTTCTTTAGCGATTGGATTGGTTTTCTGGGTTAGGCTTGCTAGCCCTATGCCCAACCTTCCCTCATTATCCGGGCTTAGGACCAGCTAGTAACTAGTGAACTAGTTAACTAGGCGAAGTTGTTCTATCTCAATAATCCATTCAAAACCCGACTGGATAGAAAGCAGTGGAATAGTAACTGGGGTCCGGTTGAACTCACTCACGAAGTATCCCCCCCCCCATCGTTCTAGTCATCTGGCTTGAGAGTGAATCACAGACTCACCCTCCTCTAACATAATCTCACTAACCATCGACATTTCCGTCTAACTTTCCTAGATAAGTTTAAACAGCTATCTACTCTTACCTGCTGCCGCTGCATTTTTCATCTCTTCAGCTTTCACCGATCATCACTGTTCGCCGTCAATGCGTAGACTTCTTTTCAGCCTACATTTGAGTTACTTCCGCTCCTTATTGTGCTCGGAGTCAGTAGGAGTTCACTCACGCGCACCCATTAATCCAGAACCTATTGAGACCTACTGACTCTTACTAACTACTTTGAAGTTACCTTACGGTCCTTCAACGTTGTTTCTTACAGCAGAGTGGGAATGGCACCAGGTTTCTTCTTAGTGAGTGATATTGTCCTATATCACTAATTGTCTAGTCAGTTTTTTTAACTGATATCAACTTCAGTACTCTCAGCCGTAGACATACCCGCTCTCAAACCAACGTGTGATCACTGTACAAACAAGTAACTGGAAAGAAGCGGCAATTTTACATCAACCCTCTGCAGCGACAACTGACAGTAATATGATCCTTACTTTACCATCCAGCCAAAATGTGGATAGATGATTGCCTACTGGGATCCAGTCCAACAGTGTACATTTTGCCTTAGGACTAATTGCTATATCAAGACAAAACAAAATCAACGTAGAACGTCGGTTGGTAAAACTACTCAAGCGTCACAAAAAGTCAAAGAGTACATACATGTGTCAGTATGAAAACTTTTCAGCCATTTTACTAAGTTTCCTAGCCACTGATTCCTATCATCTAGAGGACACCAATCAGGCAGTCTAAACCTCCCTTCATGGTTCAGAACAACAGTCAAAGACTCCATATACTGGTTCTACATATTGGTCTGACCATAAATAGACTTATTTCAATCTAATGCTGTTTCGGTTAACATCATACATCAAGGTAGACAGTAGCTTACCATGCGCAACATATACTCAGAGCACCTCAGTTAGCGAAAGTTCACAACATCATCTGACACATCTTCTTGCTTAGTATCCTAACATTTAACATCGACAGCTGTTACCTTGGCATAGTGGTCACGTTTGCCCATCACAATGACCCAAAGAGGTAGACCACTTGGAATATTAATTGCTTGAAGTTATTTA